GGGTTTAGGGTGCAGGGTTTGGGTTTAGGGAAGCCTAGTACAGTGCCATGTACCTTTTAGGGTTCCTCTAAGCGTTCTTGTGAGGATACCATAAGGGTTCCTTGAAGAAGGGTTCTATGGGGTTTAGGGTCCACGGGTCCATGTACCCGAATAGTATATGTTCTGGCCCCCCAAGTATCTATATAGGGACTACTTCAAGGCCAAGCTATATACTATGTGGGTACATGGACACTTAGGGAACACTAGTAGATCATCTCTGGCTGCATGTATGCCCATGCATCTATCTGTCCAGCATATGCAATGGGGTTTCACCATACCTACCAGTATCATCTAGTATCCATAAAGGAACTCGAGGCATCCACTCATCAGAACTGAACAAAAGCCCTAAACACACTCCCCACAATCCCCAATGTGAACCCTACTTCATATGACCACAATATGTCCCAAGGCCTCTTTCGCGCATGTGCTTGTGTGGCTGTGGGTGTGTGTGTGTGTGTAGCTGCACATATGTCCACGAGTACAAAGTCTAACCCTAAGCCTTAACCCTACATCCCATTAAACCCTAGACCCTGGACCCTAAACCTTCAGAGTAGCTAAAACCCTGAACCCCCAATCGACTGTAATAGGATCACTGCAGCTCCGATGACAAACACAGGCCGTCAATCCTGCGCAGCTTTCACTGCGCCTCACCATGGGGTGTCATAGGCCTTTGTGTGAAAATTTAGGAGTATACGATTATAGGCACTTGGACCCTTAGGGGCCTAGGGTTTTGGAAAATTGAACTATAACTATAATAAGGGACACCTCCCAAAAGAAAAACCAGTATAGGTAAGTATTAAGGCCCCTATAGTAAGGTAGGGTTGAATACTTGGACCTTCAAGGCTAAACCCTGAACCCTAAACCCCAAACCCTGAACCCTAAACCCTAAACCCTGAACCCTGAAACCTGAACCCTAAAACCTGAACCCTAAACCCTGAACCCTGAACCCTAAACCCTAAACCGACTGCAACACAGCGAGTTCCTTGCTGAACTCTCGAAGCTGTACTCGGAGAAGCTCCAGGACTCGCTCCTGCTTGGCTTCCGGATTCGGGACTTCTACCCCTTAGGGTTTGGGGCTTTAGGGGTTTAGGGTTTAGGGGTTGGGGGTTTATGGTTTAGGGCTTTAAAGCTTAAGGTTTTGGGGCTTTAGGGTTTTAGGGTTTAGGGATTTAGGGTTTAATGTTTGGGCCGGTTTTAGGGTTTAGGGGTTTAGGGTTTGAGGGTTGGGTTTTAGGGTTTAGCATCGGCCTTAACACGTCCCTGCGTTGCTTCCTCCAAAGTCCCTCGATTCTGGAGCCCGAAAGTAGTAACAACAACAGTAACAACAGTGGCAAAAGGCGATGGCAACGGCAACCTCAACGGCAACAAGACATGAACAACTCGACTTCATTACCCACTCGACTCTACCTGACTACATTCTTCGTGCTTCATAAACTCGTAGTAACATGCCTCAGTCGACCCTACACCCAAAAACCTTAAACCCTAAACGACCTAAATGAGTTCTGAACATGCAAGCTCCTAGTCCGGCTCGGATGAACTGTCTAATAAGCCGATATTCGGCGGGCAAACGAGCAAGGCAAGCGATGAGCCAAGATCAACTTACTGGATGGTTGGGCCCAGCGTGGTCTTTCGAACCTTGACACCTAAATCCGTAGAAGCACAAAAGCCTGAACCCGCAAGAGTGCTAAACCTCGAAAACTAAACCTTTTGCATACCCAAAGCCCAAAACCCCAAAACCCTTGATCCTAAACTATAAACCTTAATTAAAACCCAAACTACATTCTGCTACTCTGTTAAAGCCCTTTCCTAGGTGAAGCTTCCAAGGAACCCCTTAAAGGAACCCTACAGTACTCTTTCTAGGAACCCTGAAGGAAACCCCTAAAGGAACGCTTTAAGGAACCCTACAACTTTTCTGGTAGGAACCCTGCAAAGGAACCAAACTCTGAACCCTAAACCCTCAACCGTCAACCCTAAACCCTAAACCCTCAACAGTGAACCCTTAAAGGAACCCCTTTTAAGGAACTCCCTAAACCTTTGAAGGGACCCTTAAGGGAACGCTTTAAGGAAACCGCGGAAGCCCTGAGCCGGGCCTTGGTCGCCGGCTTGGCGCAGACGCAAGTCTCCGAATTCGCCTGACTCGAAGCTCTCGGGGAAGAAGGGGGGGGCGGGGGGTTTAGGGATATAGGGCTTAAGAATTGGGGTTAGGGTTTGGGGTTTAGGATTTGGGATTTAGGGTTGGGGGCTTGAGGTTTACAGGGTTTAAGGTTTAGGGCTTTTTGGGCTTCGGGCTTTGGGTTTGGGGTTTTGGGTTTAGGCCGGGTTCTAGGCAGGGTGTCGATTTTGAGTGTTTCGGGAAAGATAGGGCTTTGCTGTAGGAATTATAGGGTGTATATCTTGTTAGAGTTTCTGGATGGGGGTTTTAGAGGCTGGAGGTACTAGCCGCTAGCGATGATGCAGCGTTTTGGAATCGAAGTGAATAAGGCTCTAACAAAGCCAGGTTACTAATCAGGCTTTGGTGTTTCAAGGCTGAGGGCATTGCGTTCAGCGCTCGTCTAAGTAAACCCTGCTTCGAGAGGATCTGGGCATGGACGACTCGGGACCACTTGCACTGGATTGACCAGCACTAGCTCAGCTAGACGGAACCCTGACCTTTGTTGGTATCCGACGTATTTTTTGCCTGTCGTTACGTTCCCGAAGCATATAGGGGTATACGGATGAACCCTATTATGACTTTTAGCTGTCCGGCCATTCCGCCCAGCAGTCGTCGCAGTAAAGCGCTCCGTCCTCGCGGCTGCGATGGCCGCGCCAGGCGGATCGGCCGCAGCCCTCGCACGGTTCGTCAGCATTGCCTCGCGCACCCCGCTGTGAGCCCACGCCGCGCTCGGCAAGGCGCAGAAGCCGCGCGTCACGCCTGCTGATATAGGGCGCTGCAGTGACCTCTACTTGCGAAGCTTTGCTGAAGTAGCTGGGCTCAGGTACATGGCCTTCTTGGCCCAGAAGCTCGATGTGGTAGGAGCCACCACCCAGAAGCGCCCAGGGAATATTTTCTTCGAAGCCATCCTCCAGGTGGCGCAGATAGAAGGATTGCCTTCTCACCTCCAGGACTTCACAGACATGCCAACCCTGCCATCGTCCCGTGAGCACGTGGAGGACCACTTCGTCTCCGGGACTAAGCTGCGATGCCGTCTCGGCAGTGACGGCAATCCCACGTGGAGCACGCGCGTCTCCGAGGCAACCACTAAAAGCGCTTCCTTGTGGCCCAGGAGCACCGGAAGCAGGTGGAGCCTGTCGGCCTTTAGAGCGAAGTGCCAAGCGTGTCAGAAGAGATGCTAGTCCCGGTTTCAGCGAGAGCTCTGCATGCTGCAGCTGGTCCTCGTCCAATACAGCGATGAGTGCCATCAGGATCTCCTCCAGATCATGACTGTAGATGCGGAGAGAGACAAGCTCGGCTAGCGTCAAGGCGCGCCCGTCCTTTAGCTCAGGGATTCCCCCCAAGACATGTGCTAACTCCTCCCGATTCTCTGCGACTTCAGTCAAGGTAGCAGCGCCCTGTTCCTCGCACCATGCGATCACCTCGCAGCTGCGATCTTCAAGGCTGAGCTCTTTCAGCCACTCTGACAGGCCCGGCACTCCCATGGCACCAGGAAGCGGAACTCAGGACTTTGGGCACCCCTCGAAAGCCTTGAGAACACACGAGGCTGACGAGAAAAAGCTTTGTTACCATAACATGGCTATAAAAATTGCCATGATGTTACTATAAGTATTGCAGTAGCTTACTCTCGGAAATAGCCTTGCAAGCTCCTGCACGGTAAAAGCTCTACATGAAGAACCAGAACAGAGCAGCAAACGGCCTTGGAGGCAGTCACCTCCAAAGAGAGCGCCTCTTTGATGGCGACCTTTTTAGGAGGATTCTTTACAAGCTAGGGTTAAGGGTTGGTCATAGGGCATTCGAAACAACACTGGATTCATAGCGCACGGGCACAGGGGCCCTTACCTCAACGGGCCATTCATTTGGTCCATAAGGCCATAAGGATTTGGTCTACCTTATCTAGAGGTCTTTCCGATCCCACCATGCGGGGTCTTTATGTTTATGATACCCATGCTCGCCTTGAGTATGTTTCGATTTGGGCCTGGGTTGAAGATATGCATCAACATGAGAGTTGTCAACCTCAGCGACTCAGCGCAGTAGTTTAGCATCCCCATAAAGTTTAGACTGAGCTGTACATGTTCTTCACCCCTACAAAAGGTAGTAAGCAGGCTGAAAACAAGTGAAATCCCCGAGAGTCTTCAAGCTTCCGGGATACACACCGGAACTCTGAACAACCCAACAAGCCTAGACTTTAAAACTTCAACTCTGCAACTTAAGCCCTTTAGTATTAGGCTGAACCGCAAAAAGCTGCCTTCCCTGCAAAGAAAAACGGAAAGGCACTGCCACTTCCCCGTACCAAAAACAAGAAGGTAAAGGTCCCGGGGTTTAGGGCTTAATGGAGCTCAGGTCTTTGATGGAAACCTCAAAGCACACAAAAAGCAAAAGTCTAGGATGTCCGTTTTGTCTGCTCGTAGCTTAGGCTTCCGTTTCGGGGTGGGATGTTTCAGAGTGGTATCCCACCGGCAACCCCAACCCTCCTCGAAACATCTCGAAACCCTAAACATTCACTCATCGCATATAACCGCCCTGCAGCCGTAAATGCGAAGACAGCACAACGCTGTCCATAAACCTACGTCCGCACAATCGCACACCTGCAGACAGAGCCCTGCATGCCCTACCACTTCGAGAACAAAGGTGCAAACCTCGCCTCTTAACATCCTCTGGGGCCCGACCGTCCGGCACTGTTATAAACCCCTCCATCCCACTGATTGAAGAAACAATGTAGTCATAATCATAATGACCATGATAATGCTTGATATGATGATACAGTGGCTGATGAATGTAGTTTATTGTAGTCCATAAGATGTCTATACCGATGGTTGTTGCTTCCATTATGACCCTGACTGTCAACCTACTTTTTCCGTCGTGGTCCCTGTCATATATATGGCTACTTCTCAAATTTCTAAAGACCTAAGGGTCCATGTACCCAAATAGTACGTACATTATACTTTGGCCCCAAAGTACCTATATAGGGACTACTTTAAGGCCCTAAACGGAAGCCCTTTAAGGAACCCGGTACGGGGTTCTACAGAACTCCGGAGGTTGGCAGGATTTGGGACTCCGCAGTTGAGCCTCGTTGATGTAGATGTCCGAGTCGCCATGGAATAACGTGAAGCTCCTTTTAGGGTTTAGGGTTTAGGGTTTGGGGTTTAGGGTTTAGGGTTTAGGGTCACTGTAGGGTCCAAGGGGTCGGGGACACAGAGCTTAAGCTTATGGAGCTCCGGTAAGCCCCAAAACCTTACAATCCTTAGCACCTTTGAAATGCATGAAAAGCACCCTATAAACCCTAAAACCCAGCTCAGAAGGTCTGCCCCCTGCAGCTTAGAGATATGTTTAAGGCTTCCGGTGCTGGGGTTTAGAATTTTGAGTGTGTATAGGGGTCCAGGGTTTAAGATGTGGGTTTAGGGTTTAAGCACCTGCGTGCTAGCCTGCTGCATTTGCATCGACAAGCCGAGTCTAAAATACAAGGCACTGATGCCGTCCTGAGCATCATCTCCACCCCCTCCTCGGAAGGTTCGAAACCATAGCGCGGAATTACCTCCACCTGTGAATCGTCACGGGGTTTGCTCAGCTGTTCGTCAGGCTTCGGGTGGGGTTCCCCAAACCCCAAAGCCCTCCATGAGCTTTACGTAAACCCTCTACAGCCCTGAACCATCTGTGAGCTCCACAACCTAGATCGGGTTTGAACCCGACCCGGAGAAATGTCTGCATGTTTACAGCTCAGGTCAATTTCGGTGTGCGTGGTAGGTATTGGGTCCCCAAAATCCTAAACCCTGAAGGGAATTCTAGGATTGGGGTTTGGTTTCGGGTTCAGGCTTTATCTTCAAGCATTTTAAGGCGTTAGTCACGACATACAGTCCGACACCGTTAAACCTCTTGCTGCCTGTGTCCAAGACTACCATGTGTTCGAAAACCCAGAGCATGCTAAGGTTAAGGGCTAGTTGAGGAGTCACGAGAGTAAACTTCAAGCACCAAAAGCGCCTCCGAACACAGACGAAGGCTGGCTTGTAGGGGTTTATAGGGTTTGGGGTTTAGGGTTTAGGGTGCAGCCAAACATGTTTTGAGGCTATGATTTCGGGCATGGCGAAGTCCAGGCAACCCCAGCACCTGAAGCTTTGGAGGGCTTAGGTAGCATTTAAGGCTCAACGTTTAAGATACATCGTGTGTACGCCTCAGTCTACTAGAGACGCAAAGTGACTGATCACCAAGGTTGTGAACTGCGAAGTCTTCGATTCAAGACCACATGCTGACATGAGATCGCAACAAAGACCGTCATTGCAACATGCACGGGAGACGGCAACTTCTACAATGAAGCACAAGTGGCCTCAGTCCCGCAATCGAAACTGCTGAAGCTTTGGTTGTGCTTGGTATGGTTTAACCATCAGTCGCACATTTGCAACGGCATGCTAGAGTTTGTCGTAAGAAGCTGCAACAATAGAACAATTTCGATCTAGAAAGTTGGATCAGGTAAACCGCAGGAGATGACAACTTGCTCGATTCAGGCAACCTTCTGCTAAACCTCAACTTCAAACCCGACACCCTAAAACCCTATACACCCTAAAACCCTAAACCCTCAACTTGACACCCTGCATACACCCTAGGCCCTAAACCCCATACACCCTAAAGCCCTAAACCCCCCAAGCTTGGCCCTCAATCCTCAGATGTCTCAAGCGTACAGGCTGAAAAGGGCTCTCAAGTCCTAGGTTCACCAGAAAGGTAAGATGAGAATATACCTATACTCTCCATTGTAATTCCTTTTGGGGACTCCCTTGTAGGATCCTAAATATGTTTAACCAAGAAAAGGAACTACAATGGAGACGATTGGTAAACCCTAAACAGCCCCTAAACCCTAAACCCTAAAACCCAACCTCCAAACCCAAGCCCTAAACCCTAACCCCCCCAAAGTAGACCCCAAAGTGGCCTGCCGGTTTCTGACCAGCTTCCGAAAGCCAGAGGCGAACTCACGGCTGCAGCCCTTGGGATCGTTGTGGATCCTCGGGGTGCTTTGGGGTTTAGGGCTTCGGCGGTTTAGGGTTTATTATAGGTCCGACGGGATGGACTTCTGAGGAGTTGAAGCTTGGGGGTTCGGTTTCAGGGTGGATTTTGGTCGGTATGGGATCGGGGTTGCGTAGTGGGTAGCTTGGGATTCGCGATAGGGCATGTGGTAGTGGTCTTCAGGATCTGGTCCTCGGACGGGGTTCAGGGGAGCGGGGCTGGGAAGGGAGGGTGTAGGGTAGATGTGTGGGGGTTTGGTGTCGTAGAACAGTCCTGGGTCAGTTTATGATGAGGTTGGTGCGAGGCGGGGGATCATACTCCTTTGCTACTTTACTATGTTTCAAATGTCTAGGAACTAGAAGGGAATTCGATTTTACTAAGTATTCCGGCCCCTGTGTGCCTGTGCCGTATGAACCCTGAATGATAGAGCCCCCGCACATCTGACAAACACCAAGCATCAGAAACCCCAACTCTGACGACCAAGTCTATGGTGTAGTAGGCGCCCAAAACCCTATCCTGTTAAGGATCTCACACGGAACTCATAAGAAGGAGCCTCCCCCCTCACCCGGCCTCTTAAGGGTCCAGGCAGTCATCAATTTCGAGCTCGAACCACGCCAACCCCAAACCCTACACGCAATCCCCCCACACCCCACGCCAAACATCCCTAAACCCGCGCGGCTATGGAAACCTCCAAAGAAGCATAAACCCTCACGGAAGCCCTGGGTTCTTGTAAAGAATCATCGTATAGAAGCCCCCTGATCTCCTTCATAGATCCCTCTTAAACACCTGGTGGAAGCCAGTATATTCCACAACCCTTGAAACCAACCCATACAGAGTATAGAGTAGGAAGCCGGCTTGAATCTTGGAAAAAGCCGACCCGGGCCCCGACACCCTGCCCTAAACTAAACCCAGCACACCAAATCCTGAATCCGAAACTCCCAAAACCCAAATCCTGGAATCCGAAACCCTCCGCACAGAAAGCCGCACCCCGTCCTGGCTAGCTCGTGTAAAGCCTTCTGAAAGGATGGGGAGACAAACTCTCCAAGGAGCTCCTGAAAGCTTCATTCGCAGAAATGGAAATCAGGATCGGCTTAGGGTTTTAGGGTTTAGGGTTTAGGGGTTTAGGGTTTGGGGTTTAGGGTTTGGGATTCATTGTTTATGGTCTAGGGTTGAGGGTTTAGGGCTCAGGGTTTAGGGTCTATAGGGTTTCTGGTTCAGGTCTTTTCGGGTTTAGCTTTAGGGTTGTGGGTTTAGGCCCTATAGGGTTTATAGGGTTTAGGATGTTTAGGGTTTAGGGTTTAAGGCTTAGGGGCTGAAATAAGAACATGTACATGCACATAGACATGTGGGTATGCATATAAACACATCAGACAATCGATTAATTAAAAACAAACATATCATATCCGTATCTATACATAGACACATATGTGCTCATGAATTTAGTTTGTGTGCTGCTCATGTTACGTAAGTTGTGTGTGCTTGTTGTTGGTTG